GTGCTGTAAAGTGTTAGTTTAAAAAGTAACATCAACATCTGCTTCAACGCCTCGCCCTCTGGTTCTCGCCGAGCATAAGATGGCAACAAGATCGCTTGCTTCGACGCTTGGTTCGCCAGTATTTCTTTTTTTTTTTTTTTAATCTCACCCTGCGGGCTTCTTCAACAGTAAATCGTCCGTATCTCAGTTCCAGCACTCTGTTAGGACAACACCACCTAGACAGAAGGCCTCCGCATGGTTTCCTCTTCTTCTATGAAACATCATCACAGTCGGATCGCGCTCGGTCGGCTATTGGACCCGAGCCCGACCTTCGACGCGCTGATTGGCCACGAGCCGCAGCCGAACACTGACGCAGCACTCGTGCCCAATCTCTCGCCTCGATCGATCTGACTATGATGACGCGTGTGGAGGCCTTCTGTCTAGGTGGTGTTGGTTAGGACGGGTTATGCCCACCTGTTGTGTGCCGGGATGCACGAGCGGTTACAGCAAGTTGGCCTCAGCCGATCGAGATTTCTTTGGGCCACCAGGAAACACTGCTGACTTTAAAAGGTGACCCTGCAGAGAATTGAAAGACAACTTACTGCTAAATGCGAAATTTGTAACTTGCATTTTGAGGATGAAGACATTATCAAGCACTACCATCACGTTATTGATGGCAAAGAAATACTTATCACACGGGGGAAATGGCAATTAGCACCAGGTGCGATCCTTCGCATGTTCCCAAGGTTGCCGGCGCATTTCTCAAATCGCCAGCACTTGACAGCAAAGAGTGGGTCACCCATGAAACGCGTGTACAACATTGGACAGAGGACATCATAAGAGCTAGCCAAGGCAGCTTCTTCTTGTTTATATCAATGCCAAGATAGTGCAACACAAAGTTATAAAGGCTTACGGCGCCTATAGTGGTTATTCACTTGCGGAGTTGGCGCCCACAAACATGGCTGCAATACTATAAAGCCCCACTTATTCGTGTGCTGTGTTAAGGTAAAAAGAGCTAAACTAGACTCTGGACTCGGATAAACCAATTTTTATTTTGATTGCCAGGTTTGTTCATTGCCATTCGACATTAAAGGGACCATGAAGGCAATTAATCTTTTTTTTAAAGAAGGTGTTTTCGGAAGCATTGGGGTCCTGGCATGCCACACAATATTTTCTAGAACATTGTGACCCTTATTTCTGTACCTGCAAATAAATTTGCGAAACCGAAACAAACATTCAGCTTTCTTCCCTTTTTCGCCTCTGGAAAGAGAAGTGACGTCAGGGAGCACTGTCGGCATCGGTAGGAGTTAGTGCACACTCAGTGTGGTTCCCGTGGTTCGCTCTAGTGCACGGTGGTCTGTGAAGAAAACCTGGAAGAAATGGACGACAACACCAAGCTCGCAAACGAGCTTGAGCTCCCGTTCAGCGACCTCACGCCGACTGAACGGGAGATGCTGCTAAGGACGCAGAACTCTGGATTGGCGCTTTACGAGGGCGCCCTAGACCTACCACCAACTCCTCGGTCACCGCCTCCAGAGCGACTCCCCGCCCTACTTTTACCCAGACTCCGGCTAAGGTGAAGGTGCTGCTCAAAGTCTTCTGGTCGGAAATGCAACGAACAAATCCTGACACCGCTGTCCACAGCTCTACGCAAGACGACGGCGCGCAACCAAATGCTGCGCATTGCTGCATCAGTCGGCAGTTTATGCAAACTAACGTCGCCCGATCGACCGCACGTCTTTAGCCGACCTTTCGCGCAACCTACTAGTGCACATAAACGCGGCATGATTCGTGAGACACCAGTTCGCAAAGCGAACACGAGACGACGCACGAAACCAAAACCAAAAGTCCGCCACCCCCGGCCGCTTGTACCTTTTCCTTTTTTTTTTTTTGTCCATGGTTGCTCGATGCTTTTTACGCACCCGAGGTAGCAGTGCGGGATGCGTTCAACCAGTGACAAACGGAGGGATCGCTTCAGATTATGCTTTTATACACGGTATGAAACCTATTAATTCCTAACTACAACTTCAAAAGATTATCCAACGTTCAAATAAACATTTTTCATCACATCTCACCACCGAAATCGAAACCAAGAGCGCGTCTATCGTTTGAACCAATCGCCAGACGAGGTGCCCGTTGTCGTCACGCTTCGGCGCACTTTAGTTCACCTTTCTGCCGCCGCCTCGGTGGGGTCTCAGGCATCGTTCCCGGCGCTATTATTACCGCGCCTGTTTGCTCGATTGGTGCGGCACCCAAACTTCGGTTCGGGCTAGAACTTGGTCAAAAGTATCTGAGACGTGCCTGCCATCCATTTCAATCGTCGAATAAAACTTCGAAACTGCCTTCATGGTCCCTTTAAGAGAAACATGGCGCGCAGCGGTCGAAACATAAGAAAAACCAATAGGGTTATTCATGACATAGCCAAAGCCGCAAGTGCGTGAACAATGGATCAAGGTTCATTTCTCCTAGTAGGTCGGAAAAGCGGAGCGTCAGCCTAAAGCTTTGTAGGGCGCAAGGCGCCAAGCTCTCAACGCGGTGGTAACAGACGACGCTCGAGACAGGGAAGCAAGATCCGACTGCAGCGCCGCTAGTTCTTGTGATTGCCGCCTGGGCCAACCACCTCCGCAGGCGAGCCCCTATAAAAATGGCTTCCGCCATTCAATATACATCTGACTGACATTCTATTGCCCCTATCGCCATTCGATTGCTCTCGCTTGAAATTTATGGACACGGTATTACCCCTTTATTGAAGTTTGGCACTGACGTGGTAGGCGCTACAATGGCAATCAAATGGCGAAAGGACCCTTTAGCGTCTTTTTATTGGCAGGTGTCAATACAGAATTCGGGTATCGTCTTTTTATACTCATCCTATTGTCAATCAAGCGCCCCCGGTGGCAGTGCAATAGCGGCCAAATTCTGCTGCAAGTAAATCAAACTTTAGGTACAAACCATAGTTATAATATACGCTAGAGGTTCAATTGGCTCTTGTGTTCCGCGGCAAATTGAAGAAAACCATACATGGGAAATTTCTTCCAAAATGTAATTTAATTACAATTACAATCATTTCGCTCCAAAAGTAGTTTAACCATAATTACAACTACTACTATGTGAAAAATAATTCATTACAATTACAAATTACATCAAAAAGTAATGCAATTACTTTACAATTACTTATTTCTGGGAGCGACCATTTTTGTCTATATAACTTCAAACAACATGTTAAGGATGCAACGCATTTCTTCATTCCTTGCCCAAATGTTTGAATCGCCGAATTTATGTCACGAATTGTAAATTTTTTTTGTAAATTTTCTTAAATTAATGAGAGAAGTTAACAATTTGGGATAATAAAATCCTACGATCTTATACTTTCAATAAATAATAATAAATTAGTTTATATACACGAAGACACCAGATCACTAAAATAAAATTGGTTGACACACTTTTGTTAGCCAGGCAAAAAAAAAAGTGACAATTAGCCATATCTGAATATTTTAATAGTGTTAATATATGACTACAATCTACATCCACACGCGCTAATACAACCATATTTACAGACAAACGTTTCATTTTTTCTTAAATTATTTACAGTGAGTTGAAATTACAATGGCTCAAAATTTATAAGACCCGAATATGGGCTCCCGAATCCATCATGACAATATCCACAGGTGCGAAGTCAGCTCAAAAATGCTTATGCAAATAATATCCGAAGTAAAACCGACGAAAAATAAACGTGAAAATAATACAAAAAAATGCGGCAGTACTCAAAGAGGGGAGCAAAAAAACTGGCAAACAAATAAATAAAAAAAAAATTACTTCATGGACACTTAAAAACCTCAGCCTCGGCCGCCTTTTTTTTTTCTTTTTTTTTCGGACATTTTGTCTTGTTGGGACATTTGACGATATTTACGACATTTCTTTTTTATGTCTAACACTGAAAAAAAAAATGCTATCGACGACAGTGCTAAAAGCGCGAGCTCGTTGCTTTGGATCGCGCGCCACGAGCGCTCCAGCATCGGGTGCAGTCATGCCAGTCAAGGCTACTCGCTCGCCGCTTGCACGGCCTTCGCAGCTATTCTATGCAAGGGTGATAATCCGTCGTACTGCACATAAGTACAGCTCCAGAAAAATGCGTACGAAATTACTGCGGCTGGGCTCTGTCGCCTCCGGTACACGTAATCTTCATTTGCAACAGGAGTGACGGCCGGCACCGGGCGAAGTTTGAAAATGGAGAACGCTTATTTTGATGTTCCTGAGAACGCGACGAGTACAGGCGGCAATGTTGAACACACGCACAAGCGCGGCCGCCGAGCCGCACACACGCTGAGCGACCGACATTTAAAAATGCAGTCAGCGGCATCCAAAGAAAACGTGTTGTTGACGTAAAAATAACTAAGATGTCAAAATTAAAGCTGCTATTTTTACGTCCATGACGCCATTGTCCACGACCCCTGGATATCCAATCGGTGTCGAAAATACGCAGCCTCCGATTCCAAACCGAAACTAAAATGGCGTCGTAGTTGCGTGGTTAAGCGAAGTTTCGTATCGCGTATAAAACTTTTGTTTTAATACATTTGTTTTAGTTTTTTAAGTTTGTTAAAACGTTTTATTGTTTCGGTTCGCCACTGTTTTACGAATAATGTTACGTTAACTTTTTTATTTTCGCATTTATTATGCCCCTCGAAACAAAGTCTTTTACAAGCCAATCCAATCCACCCTGAACTTCATTTGCGTCGAAGCAGCCGAAGCTTTGTTGCGGTTTGGTGTGTCTTCATAGAGTAACACAGTAAACGAAAAGAGGGGACACTCGAGCCGATTCGCGGCCCACGAGCTAGGGACTACGACGACCGTTCAGTGGCACTGCAGTCACACACCTAATTTAGACATTTATCATATTTTCACCCTTGATAAATAACTCCACTCTATAACCTAACATTTCAAAATTAATAGCAGTTCCAAATACTTTTAAAAACAATTTGGACAGCTGCGGCTTTGGCTGCGGCTCAGTGGATGGATTTGGGGCCGTCGGCTCGGCGGACGGTAGCTTTCCGGTCACGTCGCTCGAAAGGTCGGTTGGGCTGCACTTGAGTGGCTCGTGCGGGCTTCTCGACATTCTTCCGTTGTTAGAAAGGTGAGTCGTTTTACTGACACCGTATTTTGCTTGCTTTTGGCTATAGTTGGATGCACGGGCTAAAGCGCGAGCTAATTGCTCTGGATGAAGCCTCGGCAGTTGCACGTGCACGAGTGCGCTCGTGCAGCGAGAGCGCCAGTTAAGGCACTCAAGGCATACTCAATTTCATACCTCATGTGCATCGCTGTCAATGCTGGTAACGCGAGCGCGTGGCTTTTGCGCCAGCAGCTATGACAGCGTTGTACCTGGCGCCATGTATGAAGCAGGGTAGGTACCGCAGGGGGTACAGGTAGCCTTCATGCGCGCTTTGCTTAGGGCGAGGCCATCCTAAGCAAAGCGCGCTCACGAGGAAAATACAAAGAAATGGAAGGTGACAATACCGTGAAGGCTTTTCTTTATCACCACTCTTTGTTGTCGCTTTAACAATTTTGGTTCCCGAATTGCTATGAAATGAAGGCACCAAATTCGCGTAATCTCAAATATACTTGTGCTATTTTCGTTTCCCAGCTGATGCCGCCAGGATGTTTGGCTACGGCAGCTACTGTTGCGTAGCCTGGTGCGGAAACAATGGGAGAACGCGCAAGAAGCCAGGAACAAAGTTCTTCCGAGTTCCACGAGACGACAGGTTGTCCTTTGTTTTAACAACGTACTGGACGCATAGTTCTAATGAAAACCGGAGAGAAAGTTTTAATCAAAACTTACTTAATCAAAACTTTACTTCTGTTAGTACTAAATTTAGTTTTAAAACATTCCGTTCCATGATAACCGGATTGTGGTGGACTAGCTTCCCAGCTCTGCAAGGCAGACTGCATTACAAATTCGTTGCTACGTGCTGAATTAACATGACATGCAAGGAAAGCACAACTCGTTTTTTTTTTATTTGTTTTTTATTGAGATTAAGTTTTTTAATGTTTCTATAAATGAGCAAGGCACTAAAACTAGCTGACGCCCATTGTCAGCACTGGTATAAAACTACCAAACTCCCAAAAAAGTTGCACTTCTTTTTATAGCATTGCGCACCTTTTAACCAGTCAGCAAAATTGCGTATGTGTGCAGTCAATAAATAACTACAACCTTCTGAAGCACTATTAGTTTGCTTATCACCTCCATGTGAAACCACAATATCTAAACCATTAAGCGCCGTTCACACTCTTGCAACCGAGTACGACCGAGAAAGACAAGACCGGTTTTTAATCCTCTTACGACTTCTTAGGACCAGCTCCGCAGCAGCGCGCCTGGTCCTAAGAAGTTTCTCTCGGTCGTACTCGGTTGCAAGAGTGTGAACGGGCCTTTATGGTCAAATATTTTATTTTTAACAAAAATAAAGAATAATGAAGTTCACTACATCTTCCAGGTCAAAGGCATGGCTGAGGTATGCCAAAAGAGACGACCTTCTGCGAAAATCGTCCAGTGAGCTGCATGCGAAGTATTTCGTCTGCAGCAGTAACTTCACAGCGCGTGACTTCATGGACCCTGGGCGAACAAAGCTAATGAAAACCGCTGTGCCTTCAGTTCGCCCATCGACATATTCAGATGCTGAGAGAGCTAAAGGTAAAGATTTATTTAACTATCCATATACGAAAAGTATATTACTTGTGTAAAACTTTATTTAAACACAATATTGCTTCTACGGCTTCACAACCTAACTTCTAATAGACGAAACTCTTCCAGACTTTATGGAAGCGACAACCCCACCGTGCGGCGCAGACCCCATGGAGGCTACAGCCTCCAGCTTCCGGCCCGAAGAACCCTCAACCGCTGCCCATGGTGAGGAAGGACTTGTGTTGGAAACAACAGCCTGGGTCTAATAGACAAATTTTTCCAGACTCCATGGAAGCGACACCCCCACCGTGCGGCGTAGACCCCATAGAGGCTTCAGCCCCATCATGCGGTGCAGCCTCCAGCTTCCGGCCCAAAGAACCCTCAACCGCTGCCCATCGTGAGGAAGGACTTGTGTTGGAAACAACAGCCTGGGTCTAATAGACAAATTTTTCCAGACTCCATGGAAGCGACACCCCCACCGTGCGGCGTAGACCCCATAGAGGCTTCAGCCCCATCATGCGGTGCAGCCTCCAGCTTCCGGCCCGAAGAACCCTCAACCGCTGCCCATGGTGAGGAAGGACTTGTGTTGGAAACAACAGCCTGCGTCTAATAGGCAAATATTTCCAGACTCCATGGGACCGACAACCCCACCGTGCGGCGCAGACCCCATGGAGGCTACAGCCTCCAGCTTCCGGCCCGAAGAACCTTCAACCGCTGCCCATGGTGAGGAAGGACTTGTGTTGGAAACAACAGCCTGGGTCTAATAGACAAATTTTTCCAGACTCCATGGAAGTGACACCCCCAGCGTGCAGCGTAGACCCCATGGAGGCTTCAGCCCCATCATGCGGTGCAGCCTGCAGCTTCCGGCCCGAAGAACCCTCAACCGCTGCCCATGGTGAGGAAGGACTTGTGTTGGAAACAACAGCCTGCGTCTAATAGGCAAATATTTCCAAACTCCATGGGACCGACAACCCCACCGTGCGGCGCAGACCCCATGGAGGCTACAGCCTCCAGCTTCCGGCCCGAAGAACCTTCAACCGCTGCCCATGGTGAGGAAGGACTTGTGTTGGAAACAACAGCCTGGGTCTAATAGACACATTTTTCCAGACTCCATGGAAGCGACAGCCTCACCGTGCGGCGCGGACTCCACGGAGGCTACAGCCCCATCATGCAGCTCGCCCTTGGATTTCCGACCGGTGACACCGTCCACATGGTCCTCCTCTGAACCAGTTGGAGCTTGTAAGTGTCCCATTTCTTTTGTTCACCTGTGCCCATATGCTACTACTCATATAACTAAAATTCATGCATGTTAAGGTGGGTATTAGTTTGTCTACTTTTCCGGTGATGGGCTTTTCATGCAAAACCTGTAATATACCTTACGTACTGTATTGTCAAGGCATACAGTGGAAATATGTAAATTTAGCAAACATAGCTTCAAAAGCCCAGTTTCCCACGATTTCTAATTGTCTGTAGTTTAGGGGCATATTATCTACTTGCAGATTATGTCACTGTAAGGTAATGTTGGCTATGCTGGTTATAAGGAGAACTGCTTACCTGCTCTGATTTCGTTATTTTTATTTTTTACCCGTTTCAGGTACTTCTCCGCCTCCTCTGCGCAGTTCTGCGCCGAGACCTAAGGACATCATAAGGCGTCTCCAGGCCAAGGTTTCAAAGTACCGGAAGACCATCGCAAGGCTGCGCAAGCAAGAGAAGAATATGCCTCGATCGGCTGCGGAAGCTCTCAACATCATTCGCCCTCACGTGACAGACGAGGTATTTCACCTACTGTCAAGCCATGTTAAATTGAAATCCAAGGGCAAGGGAAAACGATTCCCGTTATGGTTGAAAAAGTTTTCTCTTCATCTCAACTTCCGTGGGCCGCGGGCATACCGTTTTTTTGTCTCGTTATCTCACTCTTCCTACTCAGCGCACACTAAGAAGATGGCTGTCGGATGTCAAAATGACACCTAGAATTATACCAGGCATTATGTCATTCATTTTTACAAAAACACAATCATGGAGTAAGCGCGATCGCGTCTGCACTCTCATCTTCGATGAGATAGTGTTAAAAAAAAACTTGTCATATGACGTGTCACAAGATGTTGTTCATGGATTTAGGGATGATGGCTACGAACGAACCTCAACGATTGCCGACAGAGCCCTGGTTATCCTTCTTTCCGGAGTTTCCCGGAGATGGGTTCAACCAGTCGCTTATACAATTGGGCACACGTCTACGCCATCTACCGTAATCCGGAACTTGTTGATCTCGCTCACTGAGCAGTTGCAAGACATTGGAATTACAGTTAAAGCTGTAATTTGTGACCAAGGGGCTTCCAATGTAAGCTTAGCAAACCAGCTTGGTGTCTCTATGGCGCAGCCCTTTTTTTTCGTAAAACGTGAACGCGTTTACTTCATTTACGACGTTCCCCATTTAGTGAAAACAACTCGGAACAACCTACAGGCCCACAGGCTTCATATCGAAAATGAGATTGTAGACTGGGCAGATATTGTGAAACTGTACCACTCCACACATGAGATGCGACTGCGGTTGGCGCCAAAGTTGACTGAAAGACATATCTACCAGTAACCTTTCAGTAATATGAAGGTTAAGCGGGCGACCCAGGTATTGAGTGCTTCAGTGTGCGTCGCGCTTTTAGCTCTTGTCTATGCGAAACAGCTGCCTGAAGCAGCCATGTCAACTGCTTATTTTTGTGACCGCATGGACAAGCTGTTTGATTGCTTGAATAGCTCCAGTCCAAAGAAAACGGAGCAAAAGTTGCGCCATGCTATTCGAAAAGGGCAGCCGGATTTAGTTGAATATTCGGAAAACAGCTTCCATGCATTGCGTCTTGGAAGTTCGAAGGCAAACGTCAGCCACACACTATCATCGGGTGGCAAATTACGATCAAAGCCGTCTTGCTGCTGTGGGAAGATGTTTCCCAGAATTACGACTTTGAGTTTCTCCTCACGCGTCGACTTCAACAAGACCCACTTGAACAGATGTTTGGACACATAAGACAAAAGCAGGGATGCAACTCGAATCCCAATGTGCCTCAGTTCATATCTGGCCTGAAACACATTGGGATTCAGAAGCTCCTCACACTGTCACCGAAGGGAAATGTCGAGGAGGATGAGACGGACCTCCTCCAGGAGTTGTCCCCATTTTCACTTAGTAGCGAGTCACTCGTGGATGTTGTGCAGCATGTCCCACAGGACGACTTTCCATCTTTGGAAAACATCACTGAGTTGGCAGCCCATGATGAGTCCCATGTTATTGACAACTCTGCTACTTATTATGTTGCTGGCTTCATTGTTAAAATGTTTACTGAGAAGGCTGCAGAAGGTTGTTGTTGTCCTGACTTGCTTAGAGATGAGCACAGTAACCTTGATGAGCCACATCAGTTTTTTATGATGCTGAAAGCGTACCACGTCCCAGGCAAGCTCTTCGGCAACTTGACTGTGCCATCAAGCGCAGCTTTCACACTTGTTCAGCAGCTCGAGTCAATCTTTCTTTCTGTTATCGAAAGTGTAGCGCACCTCCGAAGTGTTTGTGAAACATTGTACATAACTCTCTCGCGTGTTGGTGATTTTAATTTTTGCACTCCAGAGTGTCGTGCACGGTTTTTAAAAATGTTTTGCCGAATTCGATTGTGCTGGCATGTCCGTTTTGTAAATAAAAACTTGGATAAAGTTCGCTTCCATTCTTGCGTCTCTGGTGTACAGCTTGAAAAGTTCAGTGGGTAGAAGATGATGTTTCAGCCTTTATGTTGCATCTCATAAGATATCTGCAACAGTAAAATTAATTTTATTGGGATTTTATTGGGCCGTGCAGACTGCACACTAGCCATTTGTTGGGATTATTTGCAGTCAGTAGGTTGCACTCTACTGGTCTATTGTAATGACTGCTTTTTTAGATGGTCATGTCTGTTTTTTTCCTATTGTGGTCATGTGGAATGTGTAAGTTCCCATATTGATCTTTGTTAATACTCTCTTAGGTCACTCATCTCGGATGCAACTTTCTTTTCTTTTGGACACTGTTTCTGCTTTACACATATGTGGAGCGTGAAGGAGATTGAGATCAGGGGTGTCCACCAACCTGGCAAGCCTGAAATGCTCAGGGAATTTTGGATCACCTGGAAAAGTCAAGGAATTATCAGGGAAACTGTCAAAAGGTTGGCTAAATCAGGGAAAGTGACGAGTAAAAGTGGCACGGTGGTGCGGAACGAAGCCCGGCGATCAGGTGTCGTCACGGTTCTGCTGAATAACATTGCCCGAAATGTCATCCTTCGAAGGAAGGAACAGCCAGGAAATTTTATCAAAATAGTCAAGGGAAACCTGGAAAAATCATGGACTTTGGAAAAGTCATTGGGTAGACACCTTGTAAGATGTACCTAATTAGGCAGTGCAGATTGCATGCCAAGCCTTGGTGGAATCATTTGTGATGAGTGGGTCGCAGGTACACCGGGCACCAGTCTGATTTAGCAGTCTTTTGTCAGCCATTTCATGTGCGCTTGTTATGGTAGTGGTCATGGTAAACCTTACATGTTAAATGTGACATGTTAAACGTGACATGAACGTAAAACCTGTATTAGACCGTCGGTTGGCTTTCAGTTCTTGTTATTTTGGTCATTATTGTTACTTAAATCAGCAGGAGCAAGGTATTTTTAATTCTGTAGTTCAGGCTGTGTTAGGGTTATTTAATGACTATGTCACAGACTAAGAAGGTCTATACTAGTGGCAATCTTGTTTAGGCATTTACTTGTCTGTTTTTCTCATTGTGGTCATCGTGCATTTCAGATTTCTTCTGCTGAGCGTTTTATTTGCATACAAATTGCATTGGATCAACGAGCTTTGATACTGCATGGCCAGTTTTTTTTTTTTAGTATGTGTTGCTGATGCTGCATATGTTATGTGTGTGGTGCACCTTCCATGGAACATGCTTGAGAACACAAAACAGGCTTGCAATCCAATTGCAGTTGTAACATTGTAATTCCAGTTGTTTGATAAGATGTTCATGCATGCCATAATATGCTTGTCATTTTTTTGTAGGATGTATTGTTTGTGAATCCTTGATGCACGGTGCTTATGTTTTGTAGTTTTGGTAATTATATACGAGGCACAAACTGCCCACCATATTTTTGTTGCGAAAATAAACTGTGTTGATTACTCCCTGGTGGTGTTCTTCTGGACAGCACAAACCTACATGGGTTTCCTGGCTTGTAAAGTCAGTGTTAACTGTATATAGTATTGTCCATTAGTTGTCCGCATTAGGAATCGTACATACGTGTGAAGTAATTACAGCTGAAATTTACCATGCGGGAATAGTAGGAAAAACATAACTCGCGGCAAACCAGATGGCGCAGGCTACCGCCCAATACACTACGCCAAACTGTATATCTATCCATCCGGTAAGTATTTTTATTGTGACTCCATTCATTCAGTTGGGGACTACGACGGCCGCTGGGTGCGCTCCCTGCCAGCTAAATGTAGAGTGCCTCAATGTTGTTGGCTGCCGCCGCCGGCAAGCAACATTGAGGCACTCTAGCTAAATGGGCCGCTGGGGCCTATGGGAGTGTCCGCTCTTTACCTTGTGTAGATTACTCTATGGTGTCTTTTATTTTTACGTAGAACTCATATCGATCCGATATGCCGCGTCCGAGAATGGATTTTGCGACTTATAAGTGGCGAGGCACCACGCGAGCAAAAATGAACAGCCCTGGAGGTTATGGGCACTGCTCAATTGGCTCATTCCTCGGTGCTTCTCGAAGGTAAGCCTTTTTTCTCTGGGTCCTCCCGTTCAAGCATCTCCTTGGTTTGTTTCCTTGCCCTGCCTTTGCCTAATCGCGCCCGAGAAGTGTATTCTGACAGGTATTTTCCTTAGGCGAGCATCTCTCCACGCGCTTTTCGTCAAACCGTCCGACGGGTTGCGAGTTCTAATCGCGAAGCCATGATTCGGTCACCCAACACGTCGGTCGACCTGTCAAACGTTTTATCGCACGTGGGTCGTCACTTCGCGTCGGCACGCATCGCTGCCTACCCATATCTGTACTGGCCAGGTTTCTTTGTCGGCCCGCGCGTCTTATCGCTGTGGGTGATCTAAGCGACGCGAGCGAAACGCGAAAAGAAAAGAAAACAGTGTGGTTGGAGCCGTTTGATCTACAGCGCTATAGAGCGATGCTATATGCACTACGTAGTGCACTTTATATATATAAAGCTATACGCACTCCGGAGTGCACTTCGGACGGAAATGGCTATACGCACTCCTCCGAGAGATCATGCCGCTCGGGCCACCCTTTTCGAACGGCGCGTGTATCACTGGGGAGCTCGTTAACACAGCCCCCCGCCTGCGTTCACGCCGCTTCGCGGCGACAGTATCGGCTGCTAATTACAAATCGTGACCAGTACACGCCGCTTCGCGGCGTCCAGCCGGCAACCCGCTGTCCCCGATCGCACCTCGAAAGGGAGTCCCATACCATTTAGTTTTGCGAAGTTTCTCAACAACATTCGATTTTTTTTTTTGTTTACTGTTTATTGCAAAAAAAAAAAAAAAAATGTCCTAAATATCGCTAAATGCCTCGACAAAAAAAAATGTTTGAGAAAGAAAAGAAAAAAAAGCAGGCCCACTGCGGATGGAACCCGCGTCCACTTGCGTATGAAGCGGACACCTTGACCCCTATGCCATGCCTCCGCTTAGAAAATTCGTTGTGACCACTCGTTTTATACGAGAAAAGCGGAGTGCGTATAGCAATTTCCGTCCAAAGTGCATTCCGGAGTGCGTATAGCTTTACTCATATATATATGTATATATATATATACAACACGGGCACTTCACGTCATCGTACGTGGTCTCCGAGGAGGATATGAACGAATATGTGCAGATGAATGAACCGCCAATTTTTGGCTTTCGGCGGGTTCCTGAAAACTTGGATTCTTTAATTCATTGGATTAAGTACGGTTCATTCATCTGCACATATTCGTTCATGTATATATATATATATATATATATATATATATATATATTTATTTATTTGGGCTGGGCAATTGATCGATTAACCTTCCGATTAATCGATTAAGGCTTTAATCGCGATCAAATGTTTTAACCTGTTAATCGGTTTTTTAATCGGTACTCAAAAAGAAGTCAAATGGACGCACGCATGGCTCTATCCTGGTGTTTTGTACCCAGCCAGGTGCTATGAGCAAGGTTCAATTCTCGCGCTCGCGAAGCGTCAAGTGTTCGAGGATATGCATTACAGTTCTGCCGAGGCCAGACGAACAAGCCGGGCCCGCAATTGATCCCCGAGCGACCACGAAACTTCACGTGTTGAGGATCTATTACACATCCCGCCCAGGCAAGACAAACAAGCAGAAAAACAAGCTGGGAATCTAACAACGCCATGGTTACTTGTTCCAGTATTCAGTCCGTAAAAATGGACGAGTTCACGAGTATCAAATGCAATCTCGCTGGGAAGTTTGGATTTAAAGTAAACTTCAGCGGCGAAGTTTTTAACTCGAGAGCAAGTCCACTGCTTCATCTGCAAAAAGTCTTTTTCCTACAGTGGAAGCGTCAGTTCGCTGCAGTATATTACCTACGAGCGAAGCACCCTTGTACGCCGCTGCAGCAAGGATTATTCTCCAAAACACAACAATCAACACCTTCTCATCAAGGCCCCTTTCTCTGAAAAAAGAAGAAAGCACCGCCAAGCCCTGACTTCTCTTCTTCCTGTCGGAAAATGTGGACAAACTACTTTGTCTTCGGAGATGGAGCAAAAATATATGTGTGCCTTTGAATCCTTCAACTATATGTATCTTCAATTCTAAATGTCCTTTGCGCCGTGTAACAGAGAGTAAAATAAGTCTTCAAAAGCAAGACGCGTTGTTGCATTCTTTTTAACATATTATTTATAAAAATCAACGAAACCGATTAATCGAATAATTAATCAATTAAAGGGTAGCGATTAATCGGGTTAAAAATTTTAATCGATGCCCAGCCCTAATATATATATATATATATACAGGGGTGGGCAGTATTTTAAATACAAGTATTTGAAATACGTATTTCAAATACTTTGTGTATTTTGAATTTGTATTAATTACAAATTGGGTAATGTATTTGACGTGTGTATTTAAATACTAATACGTGGGTATTTCAAATAGGATTGTAATTAAATACAATTTTGTGGGTGAAAATACATCTTGTTTTTATGCATGTGGTTGTAAGATGTAATCTCCATTCTTTATTCGGCCATGCGGCTTTTTTTTTTCTCCTCCGGCTTCATTTTAAAGGCACTGTCCAGAGCAGGAAGAAAACTATGTTGTGCACTGAATGCAGTGTTTCTCAATCAAGCACAAGCGTTTAGTGACTTCGTGATTACGGTGCTAGTCCAGGGCAAAAACAGTGACGAAATCGACGTTCGCAGGCAGACTGGCTAAATAAGCGCCTGTGACACCTTGTGATGCTTTCCAGCCCGATTTCTATCCATATTTTTGCCTGGAACATTCTAAATGTGTGGGTCGTCCAGATTTTCGTAACTGGTGCGAGTTGCACCAATAAAAAATCCTCTAGATAGTGCTGCGCGTCTTGGTCGTCTCGGTTCTTTGTTGGTCTATAGCAAAATCTAATCGACAAAAAAAAAGCTGCTTGAAGCTCTGTACTTTTTTCACCTATTACGTCCTTGCCGATTACATTTTTTTGTGATTATATTTCTATTCGCTACTAGAGCCTCGCACACCAACTCCTGAGTGTGTGATGCAAAATTAAAATGAGATACCCAGAAACCCGTTGTGCCCTGAAGTCTCTGACGCAAATTTTGAGGAATATATTTGGAAAAGTATTTGGAGGGGAACAAATACATTCGGTTGCATTTGTATTTTGTATTTAAATGCTTTTTTGGAAATGTAATTAGATTTGTAATTAAATACATTTTTGACGAAGTATTTTGTATTTGTATTTCTATACATATTTGCATGTATTTTGCCCATCCCTGTATATATATATATATATATATTTATTTATTTGGACACACAAAACAGACGGGCACTAATTAACTTCACTAACATGCTCACATACTCTCCACTTGTCATGTATTTTGTGTGGGCTTTGCCCGATGGTGCTAGTGAGTCATTCTCGTGTCAAGTGGAGTGTCCAAACCATTTTGCACGCATGTTCGGACTCTCGGGATTTGCAGAAACTGGGAGTCTGCAACGCCTGCTGTCCTCGTCTTTTTTTTCTCCAGTTCATCTTTTTTCCTTGTGCAACAGCAGACTGTCGCACAAGAGTGACATCTTTTTCATGCGTGGTGTCACCTGAACCGTAGGATGCTCGCTTCATAGTGTGGCCCGTGAGGGTGTGCGCTTTCCGCTGTCTGCTTTCACGAACACAAATACGGTGATGTACCCAGAGTGCACCGCTCGCTAGCCTTGCGTGAGTACACCCTATATGGTATATGTTGTTCAAAGTACCTTTATGCCTAGCTGATCCAACCTGCATTCTCTTTTGCCATTGCCGGTAGCAAATTGTGTCTGTTTAGTATTGCACACCTGCCAACTTCCCCGTATTACCCAGAAGTCTCTTAAACTTTGATCAGTTTGTATGATTGACAGAAAAACCTCCCGAAAAGAGAAATTACCCTCCCCCTCTCTTTTGTACTAAAGAAGAGTTTTTGCCATCACTGTGGACGGCTGCAATCCCATGAGCATAGGCAGTGCAATATATAAATATAATGAAGTTGTCTTCATGCAAATTTGTTCTCAATATTTCTTTTTAAAACACCCCCCCCCCTCCCCTGCTTAGAAATTATCCCGAATTTGGTGTCCCCAAACTTGGAAGGTATGGTACTGTCTGTGCCTTTTCTATCTTGTGTCATTTATGTAACGTAATATATCTGTTCTTCATATTTATAATCGCTGCAGGCCTGGTCAAGGAGGAGTTGCTCAGTGAACTACTAGTTTGAGTTCCCTGAGATGGACACCACTGACATCACCTACAGTGCCGAGGTACAGGCTTAATGGCAGATATCAATAGGAGATGATGGTAAGCTGTCCTATTTATTTAGCAGTGTCGGAGTAACTCACTTGAGTTTTCATCACTGTTTTCGCTGGCAGTTTGAAAAATGGTCCATTAATTGTCCATGTCCATTAAAATTGATGCAGCCTTCACACTTCTGCGGTTTAGAGCAATTCGCAGACATATGTCCATCATAGTCAAAACAGCGTGACTCATCATTAGAGTTGAATGCTGAGTTTCGCTTGGCAACTTTTTGGCCACTTCGATCACTACAAAACATTATTTGCCTTCTCAGGTACGCGTCACGTCTGTTTGGTTGGACAGCCACCAAGTTGACTTGGATGTCAGCGCCTGTTGTCATCAGAACCTGGTTCTTGTGCTGCCACATCATTTTTGGTGGTGGCGCTGTCGTCACCTCCCAACGCTTGCGCTCCCCGAGTTCCCATTCAAGATGGTGAGTGGTATACTCATGGGGGCCTCGCTGCTGCAGGTGCTGCCATGTAGCTCTGGCTCGTCGTGGCTCCACCGCCATCGTTTGTGCTCCCTGTGATCCCAGCCGGAGTGGTGACAGGGATTATGCAAGGGCTCTTTGTCGCAGGTGCTGCCACGGACTTTGGCTCGTGGGGGTGCCGTCGCTACTGACAAAGCCTGTGCTCCCCGTCGTCCCTGTTGAAATGGTGGCTGGAACTTGGAGGGGGTTCGCTGCCACAGCCGGTCAGTTCAAGTTCCGCAGATTCTGCCGTAGCCCTTGGGAATTCGTTCCTTCCATGTTGAGGTTCTAGTAGGAGAAGTCCACCGCTGTTGGGCTACATGTCACCACAGCAGTCAATCTGCAGAGGGGCATGGCCACGTGACCACACTTCTGAAATGTTGGGCCCTTGTTGTGGACATGGAGGCCGGTGTGAGAGATTTAATATGCGTCTGGCACATCTGCCCGGCAAAAGAACTCATGGGTGTGCCACATGGAAAGTGAGCAGACTGTGCAAATCTCTTTTACAAAATGGCGCTAACAATAGGTAGTGTCTGAATCCTTCTTGTCTTAGGTAGGTGATACTTTCTAGGCGTAATGTGTTAGTAGATAGCTATGGTGTTATTGCTTAACTCTGAACAAGATACAAAGTATGAGACATTTTCAGGCCAAGTAAAAAATTTCTGCTCACTTTAATCTTGAAGATCTTCCAGAGTTTCACATCATCCAGCAATCCTGAAGGCGATGCACCACATGTAATTATAATTAATATTCCCGCTCTTAGTTTACCAGGGTTAAAAAAATTGTTAGTGTTAGTTGCTTAGGAGAGCGATGTGTTGCACCTTGGCGTTTTATTCACTTTGGTATGAGGTGCTTCATTCTTGTGCGTCCTTGGTTGTTTCCTTAGCCCCTAAAGATGTTGGAGATTTATATGTTTTATTTTTGGGGAAACCATGTTAAGTTAGTATCTGGCATGTTTTTTTTTTATTGCTGAAAGCTGTTTGAAGTGAGCCTTTTGTCCACCTAAGAGCATAATGATTGGGAGTTTCACTCAGGTGTTTTTTATGGCCACACCGCAGAGCATGATTGTAAGCACCGATGCATGCTATTGATTACAAGATCGGGACTTCAGAGAGGATCAGTCAAGTCTTCCTATTTTTATTTCCATTGATTCTTTGGCATTCTAGATATCTTTTTGTAAGCGTGTTCACGTAAGCTTGTTCAACTTTCTGGGTCATAGTACCGGGTCGTTCTGTAATTATCATATGCTTTATGCATTTGTCATTAGTCTCATCTGAAGTTGTCATGGGCACATGGCTGACACATTTGGTGCTGCTTTGATTTGGAAGGTAAATATTGTCTGCCATAGGTCTAGCAAACTTCATATATTCTACACTTCAAAATTTTCTCTTAGACCTGATTACTAGGCAATAAGCTCCTTTTCAATATGTACAATTACTTAAATTGAAAAGTCAAAAGGCTTTTAATAATCAGCCACATGCAGAATAAGGACAATGTTTCTGCCACCTAGTGTGGGAGAAAATGGGTGGGGGGTGGAGGCCAAAGCAAACGCAAGCAGTGTGAATACAACTCTAGGACTTATAAGCGGGGTAAGTGAGGAATTTGAACTGTCTACCAAGACCATGTAGCTCACACATTTAGCAGAGGATAATGGGTTTGATTTAACAAGCTATTGGGGTGGTTGTAAAGCTCCTATACAGCCCCACATGGAGTCACCCTGCATGCACTGATCTAGACTGCTCGTTTCACATAGATTTTTGTGACCTATTGATCTAACTGCTTTTTTTATTTGCAAATTTTTGTGTTATTCAGAATAATTGGGAACCCAGCAAAAGGTTGGCATGTTATGGAGTAAACATGCCATTGTACAGTGTACTTCACTCTAAAATGTAATGCATGAGCAGTGGCCAAAGCTGATGACACTTGTCTAATGAGGAAATCAATGATACTGCACAAACTGAAGCATATCTTCCTGGGACCGTTGCCATTCCCCTATACAATTATTGCATGGCCTCCTTGTTTTTTTTTTTTTATGCCCTCAGTTAATTTGACAAGGGCTGGATTGCTGTTATCCTTAATAGGTCGGCGTGTCACGTTTATCTTGAGGTCCAATTAACGGGAAATTTGTTTTGATAAGGTAAATAAGGGGAACAACAAAATATTCAGAGCAATGTCTTTTTTTTTCTTTCTATTTTTTTGCATCACCGAAACATTTATTGGTCACCGCATTGAAACTGAGAGTGTAACGCACGAAGAGAACTGCAGTGTGACTCTCCAGTCTCTGCAGTCAGACGATGCACACATTCTGTAACATAAGTGCAGAATCAGCTCTTTTTTTTTGGGGGGGGGGGGGGGATTTTTCTGAGATGACATGAAAATGTTGTAGTCATCACCATCAAAGTGATTTGTTGTCTGCATGTTCCCTGCTTTAGTGACAAGGCCACTGACAAGCCGCTTCACGGGTACTAAATTAACTGCTTGACAAGTTGCTCAAACAATAGTGATACACAAATGGCAGTACGAGGACAAGTTGAAGAACCACAAGTTGCGCCTGTCCTATCACATCTTCAACTTGCTGTTGTCCATAGCACTATTTGTGTTTTGCTCCTCTTCATCTGCTTCATAAAGAGCAAATATATAAGGGTGCTTAATAAAATGACAGCGTCCGTCAAATCGGTAAACATTTCTCTGTAAAACATATTGCCCTGGCCAAGTCCAAGTCTCGTTTTCACGATGAGTCGCATAGTGAATTGGCTAACAATGGTTGATGAATTTGATGTAGTTCTACTGAATCAGTAGCATACTTTAATCTCTCTTCTGCACAAAACCTATGTTTCGGAGCGGTTGACATAGTGTTTTCTCGACATCCGAGGGGCTTGAAGCAGGTGCTTAATGTCTGTGAGCCTCCACCATTGAAATTTTCACTTGTCACTTGCTCTAGAACTTGATAATGGAGCAATGGCAGATTTTATGAAGTTTGCGAAACCGACGTCGGAGACCTTCGAATGGGAAAGGTTTACAGGGCTAGAAAAATAATGACAGCACGTCCTCACTCACAATTATCTGTAATAAAAAGACGGTGCCCAAAGAACTGTAGCTAGTTTTAAGTGTCACTCGCTGAGGCGGTTTGTATATTGTGTTAATTCCTGCATTTTGCTGTTTTTTCTGTTTCAGGATCCAGTGTTACATTCCTGTGGCTTTTTGGTTGTTTCCCAATTATTGAAGGGAGTTGCAGGCTTATCATGGGCGACACAGTGCTTTGGTGAGTGTACCTTTTATTTACTGCTTGGCCAATCAAATCGAGTTGCTTTGCAGGAAACTCTCTACAGTTTCAGGATGTTCGAGGGTGTGTTCTCCTTCAGATATTCTGAAATGGCACAAATTTTTTTGTGCTGCATCACTATACTCTGTTGAATGACCAGCTGAAATCGTAGTAGAAGCTACATTCTCGTTGGACCAGTCATATGTCTACCTTTCGCCATGTGTTACACTCCCGCCCATAACCATGTGCAAAAGGCGGGGTCAGGTAACGAGAGGGAGATATTTGATTGATCCGGTGGGTGCGTAGTTACCACCACAGTCAGCTTAGAGGTGAATGTTAATTACTCAAGCTTTAAATAGGTCACAGTGCTCAAAGCTTGAGGAACACCTGAGAAGTTTTTAGAATGTTTTTATTTACCGTGTCTACTCGCTCCATGAGTCTCAAACTACGTCCAACTCGGCTAGCCATCAAGCCAATTTTATTTTGCCGCCAAGCGGCCAGGCCACTTCAAACCAGGCAAAGCACAGCGGTACATGCTTTCATGGCTGCAAGTGTGTAGTTGCGGATATGATCAAGAGTGAAACCGAGCGGCGCATACACGTAACAAAGCTAAGGTCGAGGAATTGCTAAGCTTTGGACATGTTTCGCCCACCGAATGCATTGATGTCAACAAACACGCGGTCATCTGTAGTGTGCTTTCGTACAGTGAAATCGTGAAAGTGGTTAGGCCTAAGGACGGTCGCGTCACTCTCCATGCTCAGTGAGCTTCCCTAGTAAAAAAATCTTAAATCTATAAAAAATATTTATGTCCAACAAACACGTATGATCCAGTAAGATCATATAAGAAAATACAAGAACCTTATAAAAACATATAAGAACAATATAAAATTATATTTGAAGTTATAAGAAACTTCTTTTCAGTTTCTTAAAACTTCTCATATAATCTTATATATTTCCTATATTGTTTTAATACGTTTTTATAAGGTTTTTATATGATCTTATTTGATCATATGCTTTTATTGGACACCTAAATTTCTTACATGCAAGACTTTTTTACTATTCACTAGGAGGGCGCTTTTCCTTTGACACCGAAAGCACACCGAAAGCACCCTAAAAAGGTTTTCAAATTGTAGAACATGGTTATTGTAGCGCACCCACGACCAGCCGTCAATGCGCCTCCGTCAGTGGAGACATGCCACAGTACTTTGCCGTGTCATACTGCCACCTAAAATTACATTTTCGCGAAGTGTGTAAATGCAGAAATTTACCCTGCATAATGAACGCACTCCCGAAATATATGTCAATTTCAGAATAAAGAGGTGTGTTCATTATGCGGGTAAATATGGTAAAAAAGTGAAGGATGACTCAAACAAATGCAAAACTCATACATTGGAATTTGAAAAAAATCACCAACCATATCCTACAACAAGGTCCCAACGTTTCAAAAACAGCTTGTTTTTCTCTTCAGGGGTGACTGCTTCCAGATAGGGGACAACAGCTTCGTTTTTTTCTGCGATAGTCTCTTTTTTTTTTCACTTCGTTAGGTGGCTGAGTCCGTTCACGTAGCATGATGGCAATGTGCCAGTGGACCTATTGATGTTTCCTGGTGTTGTTTGGATATGCCATGACTATAAAAAGCTGCTGGCAGAAGTTTGTCTCAACATTTATGACGGTGTTGGCAAAGTTGATGCAATATTCATTGTCCTCACAGAGCTCTGCAACAGCGCTGCGCTCGTGGTCGAATTTGCAGTTGTTTTTGTGTTGTTGAATTCTTTTTGGGAAGTTCTTTGTTTTTCCAATGTAGGTGGCATGGAATTGAATATACGCCCTGCGCTCTTTGTTTAGAGGGATGACCTTTAATTCGCAGCATCATACGTCAAAGTGTTGATACCGGTTTGTGGGACACCTGAATACTTTCTTTTACCAGCATACATGACAGCGCTTCGCTAGTCCCCTTTATGTAGGGAACACAGATGCGGGTGTGTGGACGAATGTTTTTGAGTTTTTAAGCTTTCTCCCGACCAGGCAGACCTCTGCCAAAATGTTTACCCTCAAAACTTGCACTGCATGTAGTAATGGCTCTTGGTCTGTGAGAATTTTTGTTTTAGTTTTGTGTTTGTTGAGCATTATTGGGCAAATGACAAAGGCTATGCCACCTCATTATAACCGCAGTAAAAAGAGCTATACACTTGATAACATAGTCCTGTCATGTTTTTGCTTTGAAAAAAATGTTAACACACAAGATTAATCTATTTCTTGACCCTTGACTGGGGACCCATGACAAAAAAAAAAAATATTTTGTCCCTATTTTGCCTATATTTTTTGTACGAAACTTTTCTTGTGCTACCATCATAGCTTTAATTTCTAAAGGAAAATTATTTCCGATGTTAGGGGATAGATGGTGCTTCCTCCCGTACGATAAAAAGAGTGAGCGTTTAAAGACGCACTCCCCAAACTGATTGAAGAGTGGTGTGCATCTATGAGTGCGCCCCCCAGGCTGCTGTTAAAATTGCCAAGCATCCGAAGATCTTATCAAAAGTAATAGATAAATCTTTGTCTAAGGTGAAGTGAATATTTACATTAAATTCAAGTAATGACGCAATAACAACATGGCAGTGCCCACAAGCTGCATGCGCATGAACGAATTTCACCATCCAAATGGATGAATGACCGTTTTGGCAGAACTGGACAATGAGGAAAAGGGTACCAATACTTGAGTGTAGCTTTCTAGGGGCTATTATCATTTTAAATTGCGATTCTCATTTGCTCTTTCAGCTCGCACCTTCACGGAGTACAGCAATGTGGGGAAGCAAGTCGAGGACAGCCTCTCTCGATTTCTGTCCCGGGGGCGCTATGCTCTTCCAGGTAAGCTGCTTCCCTCTCTTAAGAGACACGTGTAGACCCTTTTATTCAAGACAAGAATGACAATAATAATCACTGGAGATGGGGAACAAGGGGACAAAGGAGATTCCTCTTTGACCTTTCTTCCCCTTGTACCCCTTTTCCAGGGATTATTATTGTATTCATACTTATTACATTATTGTGGAGTGGACATTTTGACAACCTGTGGTTGGCTGATGTGTTGTGGAAGTTAAAGCTATTGCACATTCAAACACTGTGTGAAATACAGTAGAACCCTGCTGCTGCATCTTTATGCAGTCACAATAAAGGATCATGACATGAGCGAAGATGTAACAATTGATAATGCCCTTGGGATAGCTATAGATGTTTCAGGAAGCTGTATTCTCTGTTTATCTTACCTTAGCTTTTATGGCTGTAAAAAAGATTGCCTTATTTGATATGTTGACAATTTTTTCAACACTTCTTAAAATTGTGGTTGAACTATAAGTAACACACTGTTTACAGACAAGCTTGTGTTTGCCCACAGCAGCTATGGGCACTGCATATGCAGGAACTAGATTCCTGTGAGCAGACATGTGCGTACATGTGGTGTGCCGACAGCCGCGCCATCGCAGTGATGCGTTGTCTATAGTTGCAGTTAAAAAAATATTGAAATATAAGGATGCAAAAATTCTGAGCCCATCGAGCTAAACCACAGCTGCCTCAAACAAGTCACTGCACCCTGCATGCCACATCAAAGCAGTGGGGCTTGATGCAATCAGCACTGCTTGAACATGGTGGCATAAAGGTGGTAAAGAAAAATGGGGTGTCGTGAGAGCCTGAATCTCTTATTGTCATACAGGACCAAGCAAGAAACACAGTGCAGAGAGGCAAGGAGGTAAAATAAAGGGAGCAAAGCAAAAGGAACAGGGTATGTGTTCCTAGTAGTCATGCCGGCCACCTTGAGTGGCAGTGTTTGGGCATAAGAACCAAGAAGGAAATTCATGAAGCCTGTAATTCTAACACATATATACTTTTGGACGTTCGATAGGACCGGTTTCCGTGAACATAACAGCCGAGAAAACATGTGAGCAAGGTTCTTCTGTGCATATTTTTGAATGTGCTGCAAGAATATTTCTGGTTATATGCCCACTTAATTTATTTTGTTTTTCTTCTTTCAGCTCACACCTTACAGACATGTCAGGAAGCAAGGAAAGGTTATTTTTTCACTCATCGTTTACATTTGGGTGATTAACTTAGTCTTGAAAAAAAATGCGTCATTTTAATGACATTGTGATAAATAAATTTTGGGTCTTTAAATTGTCCTTCAATCTTTGTTTTCTTCCCATATTGCAAGCCGGCACTATGTGTATCAGGCATGAAATCAATGGTAGGCCATGTAAACTATTGCAGTTTTTCGGCTGGCCAGCATAAAGTTTACGAGGGGTTGACAATGGCGAAATGGTCACGAAATTCGATCAAATGACGTCTATGTGATAATTATGCCCTCATAAAAATGGTTGATGCCATTTTGTATTATTGCCAAATGGCAACAGGTGTTTAAGAGCAGTCAATCAGCAGGCAACAGATGTTAATCGTCATTGAGATGTCATCTTGTTGACCCGGATAGCCATTTCGCCACCGTCAACTTTTTGCCGTTCTATTGGTTATTGTCGGTGCATTGCCAGTGTATCTACATGCTAATGCTAATTGGCTATTGGAGGCAGTCAAAAGACTATAAAATGTATAGTCCTTTGATTGCCTTCTTTAGCCATTTAGCGTTAACATGTAGATACACTGGTGATACACCGACAATAATCAATAGAATGGCAAAAAGTTGACGGTGGCGAAATGGCTATCCGGGTCAGCAGGGTGACGTCTCAATGACGATTGACATCTGTTGCCTGCTGATTGACTACTTGTAAACAGCTGTTGCCATTTGGCAATAATATGACTTTCAAATGGCATTAACCATTTTCATAGGGGAGAATAGAAAGCTGCGAAACTGAGCTTGCTCCAGTAACCTTGGTGGACACGACCACTGCGCGAGCTTTCGGTTTGGGCTCGTGACAATCAATACCTCCAGATGCAGTCGAGTAGTTGCTCGCTCGCAATCGCTGCGATGATGCAAATAGACCTATTGCTATACGCCTCGCAAGTGGGCTCATATTCGTCTTCTGCGCATGAGAAAGGAAGTAGCGGTGACGTCAGAACGCCGAGCCCTGATTGGCTGATCGCGACCCCCTATCTGAGCGTCGTCTGCTCCTTTGCAACGCCGTCTGCTCGCAACGTCGTCTGCGTCTGTCTTAAGGCCCGTTCACACTCTTGCGACTGCTTGCGACCTCTTAAACCTGGGTTCCTTAAAACTTCTTAAACCAGAGAACACACTGGCGCCACCTATTGGGAAGCAGTGTAAACTCGGCGGTCCGGCATATTTGTTTTTATTTCTCGCGCAATATCCTTTCTTTTTTGGCTCGAAACACTTTTGTCAATGTTATAAACGAGCCTTTCTATGGGTATTACGCACATTTGACCTCAGAAATCCCGCAAAACCTTCGCTTTTGTGAAATGCAGTTCTAGGGTCACCGCATAGATGGCGCCACAATGTCAGTGTGTTCCCTCATTCTAGAAACATTTAAGAAGTTGTAAGAGATCTCGTCCCTCTCAGTCGTATTCGGTCGCAAGAGTGTGAACGGGCCTTTACCTTTCCTGCGACTTTCGGAAATCAAGCGAGCTCGACTCAAGGCCGGTTCAGACACTTGCATTTGAGTGCGTTTGACTGCGTTGCGTCGAGTACGGAAAGCGAGTCACCGGCAGATCTGTGCTTCGTATGAAGCGTCGAATTCAATTCAAGGAATCATCTTGGCATGCGATATAAGTAGCAGGGATGTCCTGGTTTCTAGCTGCCGCAACGCAGTCAAACGCAACTGTCTGAACCAGACTTTAGCCTTTCAGAGAGGGCAGATGAAATAACTCGAGCGGTACGGTGTTTTTGTCAAACAACTAGCAGACGCGCATCAAGGAGGGAAGTCAAAGGACTCACCGGCGAGGTGTCCCGAGGCGCCGAGGTTTGTTGGCTAAGAACCGAGAGTGAGCGTAAGCAAGTTCCCTCCCAAATCCTTTTACCCTTTTTTCGTGTGCGGCGAGATCTCCTCACTCTTTAACGGCGTCGGCGGGTTGGCGCAGTTAACGTCGTCTGCTTTACGTCTGGTAGTCAAAGCGATGGCTGCTTTACCTTTCCTGTGTCTGTCGGAGATTTACCGCTTTTTTACCGGCGAGAGTCACCGTTGCCTCGGAAAACAAGGAGATGACAAGAGGAAGATATTTACCTCTTAATCGAAAATTGAGGTCAGCAATCAAAGTATAAGACGGGAAGGGTTCACAAGGGTCGCGCGGGCATATTCCATTCAGCACGCCAGCCGGTCGTGGGCAGACGGTCGCCGAGTCGGAGTGCCTGCTAGGCCTATCCGCCGAACTCGCTTGGTCGTTGTCGGTGGAATCGTGGCCGTTGGAGCTTTTCTCGGGTGTTTGTGGATCCAGCGTTCTCGTTCGTCGTGGTCTGCTTCGAGTAATTTTTACTTTTTTCTTGCTGCTTGAAGTCGGGACGCGTGAGAAGCGCACGTGGAAAAATAAACGTCCGTTGGTCGTCGCGACCGCGACGCTATCGGCCATGCTGATTTGATCGTAAGAAGTGCGTAAGACAGCTTCGGAGCTGTCGTAGGATTTTGTCGTAACCTGCGCAAAACTTACGAAAATTTCGTTTCGTGCATACGAATGTGTTCTCAAGTTTTGTCTTACGCATATTTTTGGCGTAGGATCGTTTTGTGAACTTGGCCTCTGGCTTCTGCACTTTCGAAAGTCGCCGGAAAGGTAAGACAGACGCAGACGACGTTGCGAGCAGACGACGCTCAGATAGGGGTCGCGATCAGCCAATCAGGGCTGGGCGATCTGACGTCACCGCTACCCCCTGCGCAAGAAGCAGACGAACTTGCCCTCCACATAGAGCTTCTTTTTCAAGGGCGCCGCCATATTCTGAGATGGTGCACCGACGACGCCGTCAAACGGCTTAAAACTTTAAATACCGACTGGTTGTAGCAGAACAGCTATCTAGGTTGGCAGTGGTATGGGTATGGGCGGAACTTGGGTAAAATTGGTTATGGTGGGCAACAATGACTTGCTGGAACTTGTCTAGTGTAATTTAAAGTCCCTTGACAAACCCAAACATATCGAGGGGCTTTAGTCGAATCAAGCTGGCTAACGACAGGCCATCATCTTGCCTCCTCAAAAGAGCGAGGACGAAACCGTTTTTTTATTGAGTTTATACAACGAAGGATTGTGTGAGCAGTTTAATATAGAATATGTTGGTAAGCTCTCAGCATTTGCTAGTAGCTTCTTGAATTGTGGCACGTAAACGTTTTCTTGTACTTCCCATTGCATGGAATTAAAAGCATACCTTGCTGTGCTAGCCTAATCGGAGCACCAGCACCGGTTTGGAGTCGGTCTGCCTACCTTAAATGAAGGTTAGCATAAATGAGACGATGAGCCTGATTAAAGTCCTCGCGATTCACGCTCGCAATCGACTGACTTAATAAATAGTACCTCTGGGAAACATATGAAGCTCAGTAACACTACAGCCACCCTCGCGCTGCAGCTTGTTGTGTTCACTAGAGCCACTAAATGAGCTGCGCTTAGAGTATCGGCACTCCGTTCCACGGCATTGTTGTGGGCGCCGCCATTTTGGGGCTTGTGTAGGGCAGACGCAATTGTCGTTCGTGATGATTCAAAAGTGCGACTTCGTCAGCATCAGATTCGGTGTTAGCAAGCTCATGTAGTATTGCTTTGCCCTGTCGCGAACTGTTTAAATATTTGTAGAGGGCGGAAAAGCGTTTCCTGTGATTTCAGATAAAGCTTCAGATAACTGGCAACCATGATTTTAAGCCACAATATGGTCAAATGTCGTTACTCTGAAGCGTAGCTTATTTAGTGGCACTAGTGTTCACCGCACACTTCCGTTTTTTTTTTCTTTTTTTTTTCTGTTTATTAAAATGAGCTGTCCACCCGATGATGATGGCGTAGCAAGAAAACAGTTAATTTTCGGAAATTGCGACACGGTAAAAAGAAACAATCGGAACTTGCTCACGCTCGACGTCAGTATCTAAGCCCAAACAGGCATATCTCTGCCGAAATGTTTACATTCAAGTTTCTGAGCCTTTTCGCCCATACCCTGACACGAGCCTTCTATATAGGTTTCACTATGCCCATCAACGTAGCTGCTGCTACGCGCAAATTCCACCACTTATCCGCAAACACCGAATCCGAGAGTGCCTTCATACACAAGCGCCCTTTTGCTTGAGTGGTGACATCTCAGCCATTTTTCCGCCCAATCGTTTCTTTATGCGTTTTAAAAGCGCGAAATCTGGTGTCACTCAGCTCGAGCGCGTAGCTTTGGTTAATGCATAGACGCAATTAAACCGCCCAAGTCACGCACCGAGTGCGCCAGAGCTTCACGCGCTGTCACATCCAGGGCAACAATGCGGAATCCGGCACACTGATACTTTAGACCCATGTTGTTCTAAAAAAAACTATCTCCAAACTCCGGTCTAAAAACATGCTTTTCGTGCAAGGCTCGTCAAATTATGAGGCGCTGGGGAAATGCAGCATTCTGCGTTAAGTCCTTATTTCGAACTCTTTTTGTTCTCCTTCCGCCTATTCGCGCATGCGGGAAAGGCCTTAGAACGCACCTGGTATCGCTGAGCCGCAGCGTTCTTCCGCAACATAAAGTTCGTCTGCTTTCCTCGCCGTCACCATGGCAACGAACGCCGAATGAATAGAAGCACGCGCGGTAAAGCCGCCGGAAGCTAGCAACAGCTAACGCCACTTTACGAACGGCGTCTGCTAGCCAAAGCCGAACGCGGTGTGTCAGGTCAACCGCCTCCGCCGGTGCGCCGCTAGCAAAGACGACGAAGCTGAGACACGCCGACGGCGATCGAGCAAGCAACAACACCGCCGGGCGACTGCAACGGCGGCATTTATTTGAATCAAAGGCCGCCTTCACCGGCGGGCTGCTAGCAAAGACGGCGAAGCTGAGGCACGCCGACGGCGAATGGGCGAGCAACAGCCACCGCGGGACGACTGCAACTGCGGCATTTAATCAGA